AAATGCCAAATGAGAGCATTAGTTTCTCATGGCTTTCTGCATCATTTTTTGCTTTCGACGAACTGGAAGCTATCAGGTAGGCTGTACTTTACCACCTGATGTTGCACAGGTTCGTGAATTTCTACAAACCATTGACCAACTACATGGTAGGGTAAGTTGACCATCGATGAAATAGGACGGAGTGGGATGTTGGCTTTAAGGCATTTTTCCAAAAGATACAACATTGGAACAGTTATGACATTTGGTTTGAGGTTGTCGCACAGAGCTTTTGAAATGTGGCCCTTAGCCAGAGTTTATTGCAAGCTCTTGGTGGTCTGTGTCACAACTTGCTCCGTTCGGTCCATTTTCACTTTGATGCAAGACAACTTTGTCTCGTCGCTTAGTCTTGTTGTCCGTTTAGTTATATAATCCTTTCTGTGCAGTAACAAAATTCCAACAATTTGTCCAGCTCGCACAGCATGAACTCCTTACTACGCGTTAGTACCTTCAACGCATCTGTGTGCTTTCGTGTTAACGGGCAACGACTACGCAAGTGACTTTTGCGATAATGGTAGCAGCAATTCACCAAACAACACTTAAAACTTTCCTCATTCATATTTCATATTGCAGTCAACCATTTCTCCTGATCATAAAATCCGTCAAACTGCAGCTCCTACTCGAGCTGTTTATCCCTGGGTCTAGGATCACAAATTTTTAAGCAAACCGAGAAAACTTAACAGTTTTGTCAAGGTTTAAAGGAGAAAACTTGTGTACCCATTTTCCTGGCCTTCTGGAAATGAGGCTTACGGCTTAAGTTGGCACCGCAACTTAGTTAGAGCAGAAATAGCATAGGCCTGCTTCAAAACAAACCGTGGCCTCAATCGAGATTGCGTGTAGCAATCTAAACACACGAAGGACTCTCCGAGATCCAACAATGGATCAAGAACTGGACCAGCATTCAAAACACATGTAATATAACCGTTTGCAAACTGCTTTTTATGCATTTAAATAAATAAGTAAATAAATAAACGTTTTATTCCCCAGCAGTGCGAGGCACAGACCAATTGGGTGGTCTTATCAACATGTACAACGTGATCGCATAATATATTTAATTATTCGTCTTTTGATCAATGGTTCCCATATGGTTTTTTGAAATGATTAGCAGTTTGGAAAAAAGTAGAGAGATAAAGAAACTGGGAACAATAATAAATGTAGATTTTGCGGAAAGTTCAAGTAAACTAATACGGTCATCCATGGAACTGTCCCCAGGGGACTTGCTACCATGCAGGTTATTCCCACGATGGGTTTTACCCGCACTTCCATGCTCCAATTGGCTCTGTGCCAGTGTGGCAAGATATTAAATAGGCCATCAGAACTAGGTGTCAAATGGCTTTTTTAAGGGCAGTTTTATGCATACATTATGGGCGATGAAGCCTCAGCCCTTTCTGTCATGTCAATCAATTATGACACTTTTATGTTTTAAGCCAGCGAGTCATTAGTAATATGATTTGCATGGGTATACTTTTTTAATTTGGAAGCTGTAATCCGTCACCACAAGAGATCAGCCCAGTAATGACCAACGGTGAAACAAAGAAGAAGATAAAGTATGAGGAATTTTAAAACATAATGATGAATACAAACGCTTGCCGATAGACCAGTCACAATTTGATGGAAAATCTTGGCGAGTGACGACGATGGTACAGAGACATCAGCTTGAAAGGCGTAGTGCATCTACGAACCAGTGCGTCAAAGGAGAAAACAGAATTGGTTAGACGGATTGATAGGAATAAGATCGATCACAAATATATACTCAAGAATGCAATTACATGTAGATACTCTTATATTATTGAAAGTAATAGAGGATATGATGACTTTCATGTGTATCCTGGACCTTTCTCATACAAATCATCTAGAGTCACCGTTTGGCTTAGTGTTGACCAGATGTTTGCAACAGTCAGGTGAATATTAATCATGCGTCTGAATTGTGGATAGGTAGTGCAGTTTCTAACACTCGATGGAAGTTTGTTCCATATGAACGCATATTTTACGGAGAAAAAATTTGAGCGGAGCTTTATGCGAGACTTTGGTATTTTCACTGTGCGTTCGCTGTTTCTTAGTTCATAGCGCATACGGGTCTGAAACTCGAGTTGTGGCTGAGCAGTGAAGCTTAACCCGAATAGTAAGCGGTATAGAAGGTACAGATTAAGTTTGAGTCTGCGTAGCCATAGCGGCTCCAGATTTAGCGCCTCGCAACGCTCACGGTATGTCATAGTATTAGGCATGTTCAGAAACCTTTTTGTGAATGATCGTTGAATGTTTTCTACTGCTATAATATCCGCTTTTCTCAGATTACTATGCACTATCGTACAGTACTCAAGTTTCGGCCTAACACATATTTTAAAGGCTTGAAGCCTGGAGTCACTAAAAATAAGAGTTCGACTTAAATAGGCGATCACTTTTCTGGCAGAAGCCTGCAAGTATATGACATGCTCTAAAAAGTTAAATGAGGCAGAATATCTTAGACCAAGGTCTGGGACTGCGCCACACACAGGAATAGGGGTATCGATTAATGTAAGGATGTTCAGAGAGGGGCCACAGCCGTAGTAAAATAGATTACTCTTGTCCGTGGCAAAGTGCAGCTTCCAGGAGTTACTCCAGAGCTCCAATGCGGACAAGTCAGACTGAATATAGGCTAAGTTAGGACTACATTGTCCAGGGGCGGAACAATACACAATTTTAACATCATCTGCGAAAAGGAACGGCTTTCCATACGAGATTTCGTCAAGGAGATCGTTAAAATAGATTAAGAATAAAAGCGGGCCTAGCACGCTACCTTGAATCACTCCACTAGAGATTGTAGTGGCTTCAGATGTATAGTTACCGATTTTGACTACTTGCTTTCTACCCTCGAGGTAGGAAGACAACCAATCTCGAAGCGAATTAGTGATACCGTAGGACATAAGCTTCAGCAACAAAAAATTGTATGGGACACGGTCAAAAGCCTTTTGGATGTCAAGAAATATTACGATGATAGCACTTCCGGGTCTCTTGCTCTAGTCACATAATCAAGGTAATCTAACTGGTAGGTAGTGCACGACCTCCCTTTCAAAAACCGTGCTGATGTTTACTGAGAAGGCTCATAGAACTCAAATATTCTATTATGCGTTCTTTTACCATCCTCTACATGATTTTGGAGATAATGGATGTGTGGTGGATTGGGCGGTAATTTTTACATCTTGCATAGTTCCGCTTTTGTGTCTTGGTATTATAGTTGATTGCTTCCAGTGTATAGGAAACTCCCCATTGAGGATGGAAAGTGTAAATACATTAAGCAAAAGCAGGGGGATGTCTGGACCTCCGTGCTTTACCTGTATTGGAGGGATATTGTCAGGGCCTGCTGAGCATGATGGCCGAACTAATCTGACTTGGCGACATATGTCACTAAGTGTAATTTCAACAGTTTGGAGTGTATTACTCCCTCTGTGTATTAGCTTGAGCTGAGGATCTTCATGCGCATTAGTGCTATAAGTAGACATGAAGTAGTCATTGAAGATCGAACATATGATTGCACGGTCGGTTAAGGCAGTTTCATCAGAGTTTACAGTGGTGTTTATACAACTTGATTTTCTATTTTGCCTACGGTCCAAAAGTTTTGAAATGCAGCCTACCACGTTGGCGCCCTTCAGTGCCATTACTTCCTCAGAGCATAGCATTTTGTGGTGGTCTTGGTATAAAGCTGCAAGCAATCTGGTGTGGAGCATCAGCAGAGTGAAATCGTTTGTTTTCCTAAATTTTTTCCTTATTTTATAAGGTTTAGTGGCTAGCTTTTTCGAGATGCCTGCAGGAGCAGCAGTCCTTTAAAACTTCTTGGTACGTTCTGGAGCCACAGCTTCAACACAAAGCTGAATGCGGTGGTAGAATTCATTACAAGCAATTTGTACATTCTGTGCTAAGAAGAATGGATCCCAATATGAAGACCTTATAAGATTCGAGAAAATTGACCAATTCACAGAAGAGAATGGGCGGTAATTGATCACTGATTCTGTCGGTTTAGAAAGAATTTGGAAAGAACAACCAACAATGTTATGATCACTACCCGGCAACTTGTCACTGATGTATGTGGACACATGCGAACATCCCATCGTAAAGATTAGATCAAGTGTATTACCAAGCCGTGTAGGTTCTGTGACGTGCTGTACCCATCTCAATCGATCAGGAGTAGACATAAAAGAATTGTGTTTTTGTGGTTTATTGTTAAGGGACCATGGGATTTCGGGCATATTAAAATCCCCAGCGATTATTTTGTTAGTGTATGAGAGGTCAGCAATAAGAGAGAAAGTGTCCAACAAGTCATCGGTGACGGTGAGCGTAGACGATGGGGGTCTGTAAATACAACCTACTAAGAGATTTGTTGGATTAATAGAAATTGTAATCCACACCGAATTAGGAAGTTTCCGTAGGAGTAGTTCATTCAGAGGCAGAACGAAGTATTTGTCTTTGACGTAGATTATACAGCCACCACCTCTACCATAAAGGCGGTCATTACGAAAGATGTTATAACCCATTATCCTGAACAATGTGTCAGACGTCTCTGCTGAACACCATGTTTCTGTTATTAGCACTATATCAGGAGAAGAAAGGTGAAGAATATTACGCAGGAAGTGCATTTTATTTAACAGTGAACGGGAATTAATTAAAAGTAAGTGCAGTTTCTTGTTATCCGTTGGGTTGTCTACAGGAATCCAGGTACAGGACCCCAACCAGGTGGTATTTAGAGAAAGTGGAGTGGGGGTGGTGGATACGGAGGACATATAATTTGCGGAATTAATGTCATTTGAGGGTGTGGCGGGTAAAACGCCACTGGACCCCCAAAATAGGTCGGAAGGGTGAAATACTGGGAAAATGGCGACCCACTGGGAGATTACAGTTTGCTGGCTGTTGCACATAACCTACGTGCTAGTTAAGATTATTTACATGTTGAGGTAGTTTGAGAGGATTTGTCTTATATGCTTTTCTTACAGGGAGTGAAGTCAATTTTGCCTGTGTGCCATATGAATTCATGGCTCCCAAACCTGGAACCGAATGCTACGCCGTCGGATGGGGTATGGTTGAATCTAAATCTAACAAAGCTTTTCGGAGATTACTGTCTCGCTCAGATAAATACAACCCTATTCATCACATGCGTGGACCCTATGATGAAATGCTGACCTCGGATCGGTTGCACGAAGTCAGTCTGCCTATTGTGAGCAACAATGATTGTAAAACACATCATACCATTCTCAACGAGAGATTCCACATTTGTGCCGGTTCTACAGGGAAGGTAAGTATAATGCGAATAAATGAGTTATCATCATAAGTCTGACCTCTGAGTTAAAGCCCAAACCACGTTAAGAATAAGATTCGGCTAATAAGCATTTATGTTTTACCGTTGTTTTATCGCAGTGTGTGTTTGCTTTGTGAAGTCGGATTCTACCAGACTAGATGAAATACTCATTAAATTCGACATTATTTGAGCCCATGTATTACGACATGCAACTTTAAGTCTCGCTTCTCTCCACACGGGCTGAATGCGCAACGGACAACCACGTGAAGAACTTGATCTCCTGTATCTAGTGGCGACTATTTCTTGAGTTACTAATCAGTGTGGATTTTCGATGTAATAATCGATAGTTGATCGCAGATAATCTGCCACAAGGCTGTTTGCTCTTCCCTACCCGGGATTCCGGTTCCGCAGTGAAGCGACGGACGAGAAATGGTGGTGGAAATTTTGTCAACATCAAGGTTAGGTCAAAACTTTTAGGGTTAGTACAGCCGGTGCGATTGTTCTTCTGGTATATTGCCACTATAGGCGATTCACACCAGTTACCTGGAATGGTCTCCTCCATCTAGATCTCTTCGAACAAACTGGTCAGTGTTCGTACTGTAAATCAGCACCACATTTAGTATTGAGGGTTTAAGTAACTTCGGACCATTAGCATGAAAACGATTAAAGGTTGTGATAGTGTTTCGGGCGTCAGCTTCGGATGGACCGCCTAAAATACCACAGGTCGTCCTGCATCACCTGAGTAGGAAGGCGTCCGGAAGCAGGGAGCCAGCAAACTATCCTCTAAAGAGCTCTGCTCCAAAAACAGCCGGTTGTGCATGTTGTGAAGCAGTACACCCATGCTGGCTCTGATGCTCCTACTGACGTCTAGATCCATGGGAAGAGTGGTGCAAATCAGTTGGGAGCGGTTGTGAGAAAAGCCTACGGATCACGCCTTCTACATATTTTCTGTCCTTCAAACTCATCAGGCTTCCTTGTCAGCAAGCACGCTCCGCCTTTATTCGCTTCCAATAGTCCGCCTAGTTACCTTGTGCTTAGAGCCAGCTGGGAGATTTCTCCTGGATTCCAACTGGTTCCTCGACCTCTCTGATATCCAATGACTGGTGTTGTGACGAGTTATGTTGCCGTAAGCAGAGGCTTCTGCCTCGTGAATGGCGGCCGATATGCTATTCCATTGAAAACCAGTGTGAGTAGGACAAGACAGAGAAGGTTCCGTACGAAAGGTATCCTAGTAGGCTTTCTTGACTGGTGGCTGTGATAACTTCTCCGTTTCCAATCAATGTAGACACTTGGCTCGCCTCCAGCTAAATTTCATAGAAAAACCACATCGCATTAAGTCATAATCAGAGTCGACGCAGGTGCTCCAGAAAGGGCGACACTGCAGCATGAAACCACGCTACCTGTAACCTATGGCAAGGTGATAAATTTGGGCCCATCATTGGTCACCTGTACAATGAACAATGCATTGATACGGGTTAAGATGCCATCCTTTACATGCCCTTTGGATGGTTTTGCCGGGTTATCATAAAAGAAAAAGCAGTGGGTTATTTACCTTTAAAAGAGGGACTTACCGTTGGTTTTGCTGTGGTCCAGCGACCCGTGTAGTTTAATAGCACATAATTGTGTGTTAGCTGTACCCGTAACTGCGCTTCGCTGCTGCGCGACCACCACCAGTCGCGCGCGGGCTGAGTATACCGCGGGTACGCCCACCCCTACGCGGATTCGAACCGGTGACCTTATGGTTGCAAACCAAACGTGCAGACCACTCGGTCAACGGCACATACTTGTAACAGTACATCAATCTAATGTATGTTCCATGAGTGAGATGGAAATGTAGTTATGGTTAATAAAGTGTACATGAGTAAATGAGTCATCTAAACGTCTGTGAAATATGGGTAGTTATAGTGCAGAAATGACCGATTCTAGAAGAGCATTCCACTGGTGACACGCGAACGGGAAAGGAGTTCCTTCGGCAATCTAGGCAGCTATACTGTACTGCCAGTTTTAGTGAGTGACCTTTCAAGTTGGTATTATTGCTCTCGCAGTAAAGAGCGACACACATGATGTTGATCGTGCAGGATTAAGTACACCGTCAGCAAATCACCACATAAGCGGAGGTATCGCCCGCAGAATATACCCAATCGTTCCAGCCTCTCCTCGTATGGAAGATGTTGCATTCTAATAACTTGCTTAGCTACTCGACTTTGGAGCTGCTCCAATGTAATAAGATTGTGTTTTACCTATGGGTTCCAGGCTTGAATTGCACATTCGACATGTTGACGAAGATACACGCTAAGCATCTGTCAGAAAACAAAACGATCTATTTGTCTGAAGGCCCGTTGTAACAGGTCCACATGTTGGTTACCAGTTTTGGAGGAGTTCCCAGATTGGCTGAAACAACCCGGATCTTCCTGAAACGGTACACATAAACCACGCTCAATGGCAGTTCGCTGAAACCCATGCTTTCCGAGCCTGTAACAGTGATTGTTCTGATGTCGTTTTGTGAGCATCTTACATTTATTCACATTGAAATGCAATGGATTTCAGATGGACTACTGATGTACAGCGTCTAGATCACTCTGAAGCAGTTGCTGGTGAGTATTCCCCTGAACCTTGCGCCAAATCTTGACTTCATCGGTAAACAGCAGAAAGTTAGATGTACTTGCCTGTGTGAGGTCATTGATAAATTCAACAAACCCCGGGCCATGAAGCACACAACATTTAACTTGTATGCCGTCAACGAAAGAGCTCCGAACTCTGACCTCCAATCGCCAGTAGAGGAGATGGCGATGCTGCTTAAAAGTTGATCGCTGATCCCGTAACGCTATGGCTTGGAAAGTAGTATTCGATGATCTAAACGGTCGAATGCTTTCTAGTAATCCAGGTAGATCAGATCAATATCCTCGCCAGTGTCAGTTGATTACATCCAGTTACACCATGCTAGTAACAAATTGGTTGTGCACGAGACATTTCGACGGAAGTCGTGCTGTTCAGAAATAGTAATATTAGACCTTTCCAAATAGCCCTCCAGTGCATCTGCTATGATGGATACCGTCACCTTGGATAGTATAGGGAGAAGGGAAACTGGGCAGTACTTTAAAGCCTCGGTTCCGCTTCCATTTTTGTAAATAGGTGTTATTATTCCAAGCATTCACATGGCAGGAACTTGGTTCTGGTCTAAGCAGCGCCGGAAGGACTCAGTCAGTGACTCTGCCAGTTGACTTGCTGCTGATCCCAATCTCTGGGCTAACGGTATCGGTACATGCAGATTTGTGCTTGCATAGAATGGCTATCTTCTGCAAGACAGCTTTGGTGGTAACATGTGCGTGGGTCCCGACGGTGGGGTGATATAGCCTGGAGGATCTTCTGATGCTTATATCCACTGAAAGATGGACACATATTGCATCCACAGCGCATTTGCTGATTCGGCAACCGGTCGTGTGGGGACATCAGCTGTATTGAGTGGCGGACCTCCTTGTGTCATCTTTCATAGACCATTGACATGCTTATACAACAGTTCGTGTGTGGCGCTGGATGTGTTTACCATGTCCAGCTGATGCTCGGCGTTTTCCCCTCAGAGCAGTTGAGTGCAGTGTTTTCGTTGGGCTAAGTAGTTATCCCAGTTTCTGGTCTTGGGAAAATCTATACTCTCTCTACGCTGCGTTGCGTATTGGCAGTAATTTTCTAGTTCTACTGCTTATGTACTTAAATGTTTCAGACCGTTTGCAAAATTTTGTCTCTGAAGCATCCATAACCAGCCGGTTGGATTTGTTTACAAGCTCGAATCAGGTGACTTCCGAGGGGTTTTCGGCGATGAACGACCATTTTGTGGCACTAACGAGTTGGGCTAATCGGAAGTAGCATGTGATGGTTGGCGTCCTCGCATGGTCTGCATCTTTGTATATTGTAAAGAACGTGAGGCTGGAGCTCATAACTGTATGATCGCTGAGACTTAAAGGACAGCCTACAACTAACGCAAAAATCATATGTTCTTCTTCAGTAAGCACAAGATCCAGCACAGATTGCCTAATAACAGTTCTGAACCGAGTGAGCAAAGTGACATGATTATAAAGCGGAAAACCGGTTACAAGCTCCTGAAGTTCGGCTATAACTATTTTCCGCTCGTGGCAGGGGTTTCTAAACGATGCACATCGAAATCGACCATGCTCAAGATGTGAGGGTTTGTTCCTTTTAGATTTCGCCGTTGGGCAGTTGCAATTTGGTAGTCAGTGGCAGATGTAGAGTTAGGGGGACGATACACCAAAGCCTTAAGGCAAGTATCACTGCCTCTTATCTGCAGGTGGCACCAAAGCGAATCAGGATTCTTCGAAACTGCTTCCTTCTCCTATCGCCACACAGTCATTGCGAATGAGTAACATGGTAGGTAGCGAAATTTCATTGCTCGTCATTTTTATGTGTAACTACGTCTTCGTGATGCCGAAGATATCATATTTCGGGGAAACTTGGCCATCGCTCAGTTCGTCCAACTTAGTGAATAGGACCTGAGATTTCGTGTACAAGCAAGCTAGTTTATCGGTCTCTGGTAGACCACAGGGAGTCAATGAAGTCAGATGTGTTACAGTGCCAATCTTTCTAAGGTCGGCCGTTATTCGATATTTTGAGATACCGATACTATTTCCGTACCTTCGTTTGTCAAAGGCGCGTATCAATCCACATCTACATCCACGTCAGTATCGAGTACTAGAGACATCATCGCTGATAAGTCTGCTTTTTTAGATGACTTCGTAACTGGGCGTCGTGAAGCATCTGCAGTATTTAACCGAAGTTCCGACGGAAGGCTTTTTCTATTTTGCGCCAACTATATAACACATCTCTAGCTGCTTACGCGAATAGAACCACGAGTTTTAGGATTCACGGGCCGCATCCTATATAAGTTGGCGAGAACATTAACCTCATAAGCCAACACCCCACAACGTTATCCAAGGTAAGGGTTCCACGGATGAATCGCCATTGCTCTAAATCGTGATTTTCCGCCGCTTGATGGTCGTGTGAAAGAAGCTGCGGCACACCATGGATGAAGATAGTGTTCAGGCGATCATACTTGCTTTGTCCTTCTTCGGAACTTTTTTCTACTCTCGCATGTCCCACGGAACATCAGAATAGATACGTATCTCACACTGTCCACGTTGAAGCGCGGTTACGGTGAGCAAAACTTTTTCCACATCAGTTGAGGGTTCTACTGCTACTCCACTAAGTCTGGGCTAGCCAAAGTTTGTAGAGTTCGTGTGAGGAGTATTTCGTACTATATTTGTGGGTTTGCCTTTTAATTACATTAGAAAGCATAGTGACTCCCATTGGTTTAGGTCGTCGGACTATTTGCCTTGCGGTGTGATAGCTGTTGGTGTGGGTATGCTCGAGCGCACAACAGTCAAGGCACTATTGTTAGATCCCATTTTCATTGAGCTGTAAGGTTGAGGGGTCGTTTGTCCTGACTTGCTACCAAGTAATGATTGCTTATGGTTTCTCTCTCTATTCAAGCTAGTGATGTTTGTTACAGAAGAGACGGCAAGCGTGGTCGGTGGAGTGAAGTTTTGTAGCAATCGCGGTATAGGTAACTGATGCTATAGGGGACTTTGAGTTGTCAATAGACTCCTGAACGGCAGGTGCTGAATGTTGCTGTTTGGCTGGTTTGTCTCTTTTACATACAAGTGTAATCAACACTGGTAGGAATTGCTTTTTCAAATGTTTTGTTTGGTGCCTGATTTTAGTTGTCATGGTCACTGCCTGTCGGAGTTACGGCTAATTTCCGTCTGGTATTCTGGCAAAGATGGGGAAGACAACGGTGATCGGGACCTGGTTTAGCTTGGTGTGGGATCAAGGAATTGTGCACCAATTTTCCGGTTAAATGTCCCTATGTTTACCTGGTTCAGTCTTTCTTCCAATGCGTTGATTCCAGTGCTCATTCGCTGCTAGGCTTCTGATATTAAATGGTTGCATTTCTGGACTGGGACAAGTATGCGATTGACAAATGAGATGGTTTAACAGGTAGTACAGAAATAATGGACAACTTGATAGCTATTCATCCCAGACAGTTGCTGTTGGGATTGGCAAGCACATTTTGTATGGAGGGTCAAGTTTGGATTACACGTTGTGTGATTGGATTGCGATACGCAACCTCAATTTAATGGACTGTGATTCACATTGAAATGAACCTTAGTCACCGCGTGGTTCATTTCAATGTGAATCACAGCCCATGCAATTGAGGTTTCGTGTCGCAATCCACTCACACAACGTGTAATCCAAACTTCACCCTCCAATTAGTCATTTACAGTTGTGACAAAAAGTGTTGCCCATCGTGACCCGGTAGCCAAAAGGGTAGTAGTGTTGGCTGCTATTCCAATGGTCCTGGGTTCAAATCCTGCTGTCTCCACCTGATGAGATGAAATTACATCGAAATGCGTCGTGGCTGTGCAGTGTCTTCGGATGGGCAATACCCAATTTCCATCCACATTTTGTATGGTTTCACTTGAAACAATATGTGCCAAATGAACGGAGTTTGACTAATCGATATGATTCGCCTGACGCACAAAGATCCTTAACTTTAAACCCTTTTTGATGTGCATTTATTTGGTGTTTGCCATTCGGACTGGTTACGTAACTTGAGGCAGTGGGCAGACTGATGACTTTTCGACCTTCGTGGCGGTATGCATTGGTCAGACAATCGTGGAAGTTGTAAAGTTTAAGTGAGCGGTTAATGAAGTTGATCCGATTCCCCATCGGTTCCAGGAGTATGCAGTTGCACCAGTTGACAAGATCACAACCAAATTTCAGATGGCGCACTCAGAGAGCAGTTGGGCCAATCACACGGATCTCCGTATGTAACCCGAGAATATACAAAAACTAAGCATGTAGATAGCCACCAAGCGACAATTCGACTCCAACTGTGTCAAAAAGCGGCGATAGTAAGAAACAATCGGTGCCCCACCCACAGACGTAACAGCCGCTTGCTGTTATCCGTACGGTCGAGGTTATGTCCAAATTCAGCATTCATGTCCTCCATAAAAACTATGATATCCGGATAGTGAGCGGCGCTATATCACATCTAGTAACTTATTCACGATGGTCGTTGCCGTCCCCCGTAGCTCAGTGGTCTCAACCACGGACTGGCAACAGTCGAGTTGCGGTTTCGAGCCCTACCAAGGGTCCGATGGAATGCGCACTGCTGATGATTCCCGAAAGGATGAAACGCGCGTACAGTGCTTTTCCGGGCTTGTGGCGGCTGTCTGAGTGAGCCTAGATGTGACGAAATTCTACCGATATCCGAACTCTCAACTCTATGTGCTGGCATGGTTAGTGTGTGGTGGAAGGCGTTCTTGGCAGCATCAGAATTCGTATTGGTGACAACACACGCTTAAGCACATACAAACGGGGTCTCCTACTACTTGGTGAAGCAACTTTACTTGATGTCCTCAAACAGATTGCATACAAACGGCTGTTCACAGGAATCCAAGCAACCAGTGATGACTCTGCTTTTAGGTGCAGAGAACAACGCACACTCCAGTTTGACCAGTGATTGCCGCATCTACCTCTCCGGATACGTGCAACCAATTCCGTGGGCACAAACCAGACACAGTTATGTCAATAATCCCTTGAGGGTCTTTGGTTTTAGTTTGGGATACAGAACACTCGTAGTTGATTCCTTTACCTACCCTGGCAGATTCATCAGCAACGATAGACACATAACCAGTAAAGTCAGTTCCCATATTAAGTCTGCGATGTGTGTGGTGACAGAAAGAGTTCTCCCTCTGTCTAACTGCCGTGTTTACAAGGCCACAGTATGGACCGTTTTATTCCACGAGAGTTAGAATTAGTCCCTTCTATCTGAGGACCTGCAGCGCCCTCAAGACTTTGATCATCATTGGCTATGAAGCACTGCTGATGTCGCATGGTACCAGCGTGTTTGCAACAATGACTTGCTCAGGTGAGTGCCAGGTAGTGATAATCATGCTACTTCCTTAGAACAACGGATATCACTGAATAAGTTACGTTGGCTTGAGTACGCACAACGTATGCAAGGTCACCGAAGAGAGCCTTGTTTTGTCCGCCAGGTATAAGGTGGTGCAAAGCTGGAGGTGTTGATTTGGCAGCGGAAATTATAGTCAATGAAGACCATACTCAGTGCCCTCGGTCCGTCTCGCCTCCCAGACTGGAGTCAACCTGACCCGATTTTTGCTTTTTCGAGACTTTACAGTACGTGTCTCGCAGTCGGTACCAGTGGCGTGTATGCTGACGTCTCCTAGTCGGACTACATGACTATTGGGTTTCTGTTGCTGCGTTATCTGCAGGGGTAATGGCTGACCATGACGCAAGAAACCTGTCTCGCTGATGCTGCCTTCGCAGTATAGCTAGCTGTTTGTTACCGCATGTAGTTGACAAGTTACATGTGGCTTGACCCTGAATGTTTACTTAATGTATTAAGAATTTCCGTTAAGTCACCTCTCAGTGCCTGTTATTATTTGTACTTCCTTAGGTCGCCGTGCTTTTACGGCAGCTAAGCAGCAGCTGAAACCAGGAAAAGCAATACACTACAAATTTCGTTTACGTGTGATTAAATCAAAAAAGTATCCCTAAAGTTTATAAATAATATGTCGTACTTAGCCACTGCCATTGTAACTCGTGTCTTTCGGAGAAAACCCTATCTTCTGCAACGTTCGGAACTTGCTTGGCAGTGGAATGTAGCACGCGTTATAAACGCAGTTAGTTTATAGATCATGATGATCTCAGGCTGTCCACTGTGGCTCAGTGGCATAAATTGCTGGCTGTCTGGCTGGCTTTTCGAGCCACTTTTAACTATGAGCTCGGATCTTTATGGATCTGATGGATGTGCATGACTGACAACACACTACATTCGTCTAATGCGCTTTTCCAGACGTGTGCAGAAATATTTGATTTGGAAAGTTATGCAAAGAAATCCACTAACCGTCGGCATCGAAAACTCCTTCACTCACGAGTTATTGGTATGTTGAGGTTACTAATGTGGAAAAAGTACAATCGAGTGGATTTGAGAAAACTGATTTATGCCATAAGTAGATTATGGGGCAGGCAGTTAGGTCACTTTCTACTGGGCTAAAAATTAAGCGGAAACACTGCACTTCAAAACGCATTGATCAGAAGCGCACGGACCACCAATGAGTTGTAGGTGCACAGGACCACGTCGTTGGCACCATCCCTGTTGCATACCTGTTTGCAAATTAAATGGATGTCAGTAACATGTTTGCTGCTATTGCACGAGTTCCTAAGGAAGTGTATCTGTATTTGTATCTGAAAGTAATCGGGTTGCACACATTCTACTAACATTGCATTTTCGCTGTTTTACACTTCGCGCAGGACACGTGTCGCGGTGACAGCGGTGGCGGTCTATATTGTCAAGTGCCAAATTCTAGCGATTGGTTTATTGCCGGAGTGACGAGCTTTGGACATATTGATGGATGTGGACGAAGTCCGGGCGTTTACACTTCAGTCATTGCTCATCGTGACTGGATAAGGAGGACAATCAAGGAAGCTAAATCCAAGTCGCTTTAGATGCACAGGCCTGGTAATGTACATTTCACCAAGGAGAAACAGTTATAAAAGAAAACATGAGCGAACATATAAATGCTGTTTCAATTTATTAAACTGTCTGCTACTGAGCGATGCAATTTCATTTTATCTCGGCATAATTCCTAAATTCTTTTTGCGTTCTCAATTGCCGGTTTCTAATCCGATTAAGACTCCTCAAATCCATCTTCGTAGATCACATTAGGCTCGCTTGTAAACGTCTGCATTTGGAAAATCTCACATGCTGCACACAAAGTTGATGTTTCGGTTATTAAAGATTCGTTCTCAGAATCCAAGACCGGCGTAATGCAAGTCCACCAGTGGCTAGAACTGATGCACAGAGTTGATCTCCATGACTTTCTGATAGACTGTTTTAAATACATACTACCCTCCGCTGGAAACACAAATACTGGGCGACCGGCTTTAAAACCGGGACCGGAACCTTGTAGGAAATCTGCGTGTGTTGAATGAGGTTGGCAAGTGCACCAGTTTGCTTCAGCATGGGGAAGTGACCGATACGTAAAACGCAGTTGTTCGAGATTTGATCGAGTGAAAACCGATATGTACGACAAACTAACTTTTTGGTCTGGTCAGCACTTGTTTCACTCGAGCACCAGTTTCTGGTACTCGAAGAGACAGAGTGCTACCTAGTGCTCATCTTCTCAAAAGCAAGAGTGACACAGGCTTGATCAAACCGCACTAAATTACCGATGGTGCGCAAGCAAAGCATACTGCCGAGCGAACCGGTCTACTTGTCTAGACTCTGATCATGCATTAATTTGTGTTGTTTGCGTATTTCTGAAGGATCGACTAAGTTAATGTACTAGTAAGCGGGAGTCATAAATTTACCAAACCCTACTGCGGTAACCAAGTACTAGAGGTTATTTTCAACACTGCTTGGTTTAGTTTCTGACAAGATCCTTTATCTATCCAACCGGACTTAGTTCCTGTTGGTATTCACAGGTGTGGATACGCTACTTTAAGCGTAGTAATGCACCTCCACTCTATTCAAAGATGGTAACTATTCGCTAGGTTGCGAACTCAACTCCTCGTTCCTAGAAACCTTGTCAACTGAGCAGATTTCATCATCTTTTGGTGAGCCTTTATTGGTTACATTGTTTCAAAAGTTCTGCGTACAATGTACGCGATTACAAGCTTTCTGTGTCCTTCATACGTCGCGTACCATTTTCAGTAAGTGAGTTGTTACATAGTGCACGCTGGATTCACCTTTGGCCACGGAGGCATCGATCCAATTTTTGCGTTCCGCGCGATGTTAGAGCTCCGTTGTGTACATTAATAATAAACGACGGTTATTTTCAAGAGTATCCATGCTACCTACGATGGCGTCGACAAGACTGCATGGTAACACTGACTGTTGAGTCATGGCGTCCGCCAGAACTCATTCCCTTATTGCGGGCTCTGTATTGCCTAAAATCGGGCAGAGTTATGGCATATAGCGGATATTCATCCTACTTCTACATAGCAGCGCGATTCGATAAGGATGTCCTTTCTTTCTCTTCCTCTTTCATTTTGTCACTGGGAAAATTCCGAAAATGTTTTGAATGACTTGTTGAATACTGGCGTTTTGTTCCCCTCAGGATGTCGAGTTGTTTATTTGGATTAACCTGTTGATGTCACGTTATTGTGTGCCGGTCCGAAGGCTTGGTGATTGAAGCGTCTAACAACGCCATGCACTTTTGCCCCTAGAAGTGCAAAATCATTTCAGAAAATTGGCAGAGGTCTGTACCCATACTCTATCTTGTTGGTGCGGTACTAAATGTCTTAGGTAGTGTGTCTATATGGGAAACTGCATCACTGCCAGTAGATCTGTTAAAGACGTGATTTCCTTGCGTATCTCAAGGGAATGCCTCGCTTCCACCAGGTTTAGGTACTTGCAGCGGGGCCTTGACGACCGTCTCTTAAGCAAAGTTAAGTTTATTGTGCGACTGCCTCGTAGTACTGCCGTGCCGCCGCGAGATCTGGTCTGTTCATACCTGGACCTCTACCGACTGTCTCACTTCGACCACTGTCTTTTGCAGTCCATTGCCCGTGTAAGATGGTAAGCTGGTAGGTAAACAGCAAGTCTTGGAAGAAGACACCTACTTGCTCAGGAAAGCAGTCTCACTGCGTCAACTGCGTCGGCTTGGACACGTATTGCTATTGATCGTTTAGCGTAGTTCGCGTAGCGCGTAATTTGATTTCTGGACAGGGTTATAGGAGGCAGCGTGGTGAACCGCCTGCTACTTGGAGAACTGACATGAAAACGCAGGAAAACCACTTGGTCAACATCGCTTGTTATCGATTCCATGGTTGAAGTCCCTGAGATGCGGAGTGTCAATGGTAAGAGATCCTGGAAGCATTGCCCAACATCAACGTCAGTGACGGAGTTGTATCGGAGTGTCGCGTTGATGTCCATGCATTACCCTACGAAAACAACCTATCAAAACAAATACAAAGCCTGCGAGTAGAAAACCATACAAGTAAAGCTGCATTCTTTTTTATATTTTACTCTTATTTTCCTATTCCGTCACGATACTGATTGCGACACACTAGTACCACAATTTTTGGACCTATATATATGTTTGGCAGCATCCGGTTTCGGATTTGCCTGTCACTGTGGCCAGTCACTGGACGCCTGTGCCTACAGAGGGACCATGCGTGGCTTGCGCTGCACCACCCACAGCTTCATCCACACACCCATATCGAGAGTAAACCCGAAGGAATAAGACCGGGAGGCATGTGGATGGGAGCCACGTTTATTCAACTGAGCCGGCCCACACTCCTTCCCACGAAAACACAAACGCGCTGCATTTGGGGAATCTAGCGTACACAAGGCGATGGCTGGACCGTAGTCCGCTCCACAATGAGTGCATGGAACCACACTTCGAGCCTAGCAAGACCACAAGGACCGTGCACCCCGTGTCCTCCAGCAACGACCAACTGTCTCCTGGAACCAGTATGGACGAGGCAGTGGGTAACAGACAGGTAGGCACCTTGTCAACATGCACATTAAGTGCAGCCACATCGTGGATATCATGCAACAGCCAATCACTTGAAAGGAGAAGCTGAAATAAAGTAGATCTATTAATGCATACAGATACGGTGGCATAACTCTTCGCTAAATTAGCATATGAAGTAACTTGGTTAGCAACGAATCCGCGAAAGTAGAAAATGTCCACAAGTTCGTTAAAACTGTTACAAACGCAACAAACTAATCGAAGCTAAGCGCAATTAGCGTAAGCAAATTGGCCAGTTAATAGAAGGTTATTCAGGCAGGCAGAACAAAGCAAATAATATATATATATATATATATATATATATATATATAATTGTAGTGGATATACGAATGCAGCAACTACGGATTCCGGAAAAGCTTATTTTCAAGTTTGTGATGTTTAATACTTCCTTGTATATTTTGAGGTCGAAACTAGAATCAGGGAGCCTCACAGTTGCTGAATTAAAGGCGCCTGGTTTGTTCTCTCGGTATTTGTTGCACGCATCCGTAGAGGTAGATGCGGCAATCACTGGTCAAAGTGGAGTGCGCGTTGTTCTCTGCTCTAAAGCAGATTCATCACTAGGTGCTTGGATTCCTGTGAACAGCCGTTTGTATGCAATCTGTTTGAAGAGATCAAGTTAACTTGATTCACCAAGTAGTTGTTGTGATCCTGCTTATGTTCGCACCGAGTGCAGTTTTATGATGCGGAAAACACCCTCCACCACGAACTGAACATGCCAGCACCTAGAGTTGACAATTTCGATATCGTAGTTCTCGTGGAGATTCACCAAGTATTTGTTGTGATCCTGCTTATGTTCGAACCGAGTGCACTTTTTATGATGGGGAAATCACCTTCTTCCACGAGCTGAAAATGCCAGAACATAGAGTTGACAATTCCGATATTATGGTTCTTTTGGACATTATGAATAAGCTAGTAAGACTTAACCTCGGCCGCACGCACAATAGCGAGCGTCTAGTATAGCTGTATGTGCAGCACCAATTTTCTCTTACTAGCGGCGCTCTTTGACACAGTTGGGTTCGAAGTGCCACTTGGCGTCTACCTATAGCTTAACACTGATGAACCCAGATTGATCAGGTTACCATAATTTATAGTTGGATTGGTTCCATGCTGCAATATCAGTTATTCTGAAATATCTGCGGAGGCTATAAGCATGACTTGATGTGTTGTTGTTTTTTATGAAATTTACTTGGAGGCTTACCAGGCGCCTCCCTTTCTTAGAGAAGGAAAGGTCAAGCAAGGCTGCCAGGATGCCTTTCATACAGAAATTTCGCTGTGTTGTCTTAATCACAATGAGTTTCAATGGAACAACCTCTCGGCAGCCATTCACGACGCGAAAGCCTCTGCTTGCTGTACAACAAATCGTCACAGTGCCAGTCGCTGGATATCCGAGAGATTGGTGAACCAGTTAGAATCCAGAAGACATCTCCCTGCTGAATCTAAGCACAAGATAACTAGGCAGACTATTAAGAGCGAACAAAGGCGGAGCGTGCTTGCTGACAAGGAAGCCTGATGAGTTCGGGCAGCTGAAGTAATGGAGGAGTCGGGAGTGTGTGCGATCCTCGCAATTCCCTCCATATGATCCGCACCCCTGGGCATAGAATACAGGGCGGCAGCGAGACACCAGGGACAGCGCGTGTGACCTAATTCACGATAAGGAGCGCCGTATGGCCATATAGACGGAGGGCCTTGAAGAGCAATTCATTTTTAACCCTGTTCTGGCACTATTCTTATTCAGGTTTTGCAGGCTGATCCATGACCCGTTAGTTTAGATACTCCGTCGGAGGCTGAGGTCCAAAACGCGATCATAGTCATCAATCGTTTAGTGCTGCTGGCCAGGATTCCATCACAGTCCTACCAATTGGAGGTGGCGGTGTGGTCCACTGCAAAGCAATGACCTCCCTGTTCGAACAGGCCATTCTAGTTAACTGGAGGGAAAGGATTATAGTGACACCATACAAGTAGGGCAGTAGCACCGAGTGTGCTAACCACAGTGGATTGACCTAGTGACATTTATTATACTATTTCTG